CAAGGAAGTCTTGTGATAAACCAAACCAGATAGATACTTTATAGACAAGGAGGTCTTGAGATAAACCAGATAGATACTTTATAGACAAGGAAGCCTTGAGATAAACCAGATAGATATTTTATAGACAAGGAAGTCTTGAGATAAACCAGATAGATACTTTATAGACAAGGAAGTCTTGAGATAAGCCAGATAGATACTTTATAGACAAGGAAGTCTTGAGATAAGCCAGACAGATACTTTATAGACAAGGAAGTCTTGAGATAAGCCAGACAGATACTTTATAGACAAGGAAGTCTTGAGGTAAACTAGATAGATACTTTATAGACAAGGAAGTCTCGTGATAAACAAGATAGATACTTTATAGACAAGGAAGTCTTGAGATAAGCCAGATAGATACTTTATAGACAAGGAAGTCTTGTGATAAACCAAACCAGATAGATACTTTATAGACAAGGAGGTCTTGAGGTAAACTAGATAGATACTTTATAGACAAGGAAGTCTCGTGATAAACCAGATTGAACAAAATAATAAATACAGATTACCAAGATGTTGTGGACTCGAAATGAATGTTAGTTGTTTATCCAATAAACACTTTAAGAATTATGTGAGATAAACAAGAAATATAGATAACAACGCTCTGGTAGTTTGTTTGTTTGTTCTTAAGCACAAAGCAGTTGAATAGGCTATCTTTGCTGTGCCAATCGTGGGTATCGAAATCCAGTTTTTAGCGTTATAAACCTTCAGAACTACCGCTGAGCCACTTGGGGGAGCGTTGTAGTAGGCTGGAAATGAATATTAGTTGTTTATCCAATAAACACATTAAAGGCTGTATGAGATAATATCAGATGTTTCTTCAAGAACACGAGCTCCCTCCTCTCTCAAAAAAAAAAGAGTTGCCGTAACGCAATATGTCATTTGAACAACAGTTAACTAAAAATAACGTACCTTTATCAGGGAAGTTGTAGTTAATAAAAACTAAAGAGAAAACGACCAAAAGGAAGATTTTAAAACTATGTAAATTAAAACAAAAAAAATGTCTACAAATTATGGTTTTTGTTTGGAAAACATTTTCAATATTGTATACACTGTTGCTAATGCAAAACTAGCTAGCTGATCATACTGTGTTGTAGACGTGTTAGAAAAGCGTAAATAATGTCAACTTCAGGTGTAACAATTTGTTACACTACAGATTTGCGTTTGCTTATTTATTAACTTCATTTAAAAGAATAGAATTATTCATTATTTGCCCCTTTCACACCTCGTGTTTATCGAGTCTAAAAAATGTAAATTGAATTACATCTGTGGAAAATGTTTCACACACACAATAAACCTGTGCCCGGCATGGCCAGGTGGATAAGGCGCTCGACTCACAATCTGAGGGTCGCGGGTTCGAATCCGCATTCCACCAAACATGCTCGCCCTTTCAGCCGTGGGGGCGTTATAATGTGACGGTCAATCCCACTATTCGTTGGTAAAAGAGTAGCCCAAGAGTTGGCG